AATGCAATAGCTTTTGTGCTGCAATGTGAATGCCCTATCATGCTGAGGTGCATTTAAAAAGCTAGTGTTGTTCATAATCTTCCATCTTTGGCTTGTGGAGGCCCCTGTATTTGTGCAAAAGGGCTGGTAACGTTACAGAAAGTTGCCAGTGGTTAGCTGCATATTTTGGCTACACTTGCGAAGATATGAAAGGGAAGCAATATTTACATTTGGCATCCTTTAATGCAGTCAAACTTTGACGTAATTAAACTTCACACTAATACAGCAAAGAAAGTTTTTGTTAGTCATGCTTTTTTTTCTGGAAAATATAAATGTGCTATAATGAAGTAAAAAAGATCTGGCATGTGGAAAATATAATTTTGCTATAATGGAGGAGGAATAAACTTTATTATAAGAAACCAGCAGGTGTAGGTGGCCGGGCCTAAGCCTCCCATGAGGGGACGTCAAGGGCTTGCCTCGACGCTGCCTCACGGGCGTGCTGGGTCGCCCAGGTTTGGTCGTAAAGAGCGAGGCTCCGCAGAGCCTCATGGAGCTTCGACGAAAGGGTCGTGGCGTTAGTGTGTCTGTACTGTGCCAAGCAATCCCACAGCATGTGCGGAAGCGTAGCCGGGTGAGTGCCGCAGCACCGGCAGTGGGAGGTTGTGTACACGTCCGGGAATATGAGGTGAAAGCTGGCATGTGAGGGATACGTGTTTGTTTGAAGTAGATGCAAAGTGGTAGCCTGTGCCCGGTTGAGCTTTGGGTGAGGTAGGGGAAAGGCTCGGCGTCTGAGATAAAAGTTCTTAACCAGATCATTGTAGATAGTCAGGTTGTCCCTGGTGTTCATCTCGTCTGTAGTAGCTCCAGCACGATTGACAAGGCCTCGGCAGTGGGTGACCTCGTTGAGGTTGGGGAGGCGGGGGTGGACTGGGCCCGCATGAGCGGGGATCCATGTCAGGGTGATCATGTTTTTCTTTGGAGTGTGGTGCCTGGCAGAGGATGCGAAGCGCTTGAGGAGAAATGCTGCCTTTGCTGTAGTTAGTCACGGCTGAGCGAGAGTCGCATACGATGGTGTCACAGATGGGATCTAGAGTGGCCAGGGCGATGGCCACTTCTTCAGCCGTCTCGGCAGACGAAGTATTGACGCTGGTTGCATGGCGTAAGACTCCATTGTGTGTGGCGACAGCTACAAAACGTGTGCCTTGAGAATACTGAGCTGCGTCAACAAATGTGGCGCCAGGTTCGTGGGCAAGGGCTTTTGTCTACAAAGGTCTACAAGCAAGCCAAGTGCTTGCTTGTAGACCTTTCGTATGAGGATATCGAGCTTGTTTTGTTCTGCACGATACTAGTTCAGATAAGCAGCAACGTAGGTGATATGACACAGGACAAAAGACTGCATGAGGCGAAGAAGGCTCTCTTCTTTGAGACCACTTCTTCGGTTGGATATAGGTTTGAGAAGATGTAAGGTGTTGTGAGATTGAGCAGAGATCTTGCTGAGAGCCAAGCGGTTAGAGCCATTGGCTGATATAGTGAGACCGAGGAACCGGATACTAGGGACGTGCGGGATAAGGCTGCCTTCTTGAAGGTGAAGGGTGATGGTGTCACAGGGTCTTTGCTCATGTAGGTGTTTGGGGGGACGTCCCCGCTGAATGGGCTTGTAAAGAAGCAGCTCCGATTTAGTAAGTGAGCAGCGCAGTCTGGTTCTTCAGAGGTAGGCCTCAACTGTGTCAATCGCCGTCTGCAGGGCTGTCTCCACTAAGTGCAAAAGATCTGGCATGTTGTTGGCTATGTCAAAGTGAATTTTTCTTCACGTGTAGATAAAATTGTTCGTTTTTTTTTTTTGTGTCTGTAGATTATTCTGGGCTTCTTGTAGCTACTTCTAGAAACATCATAATGGTAGCGCACATTTATACCATGACATGGTATACAACTTCATCATTACGACATAATTTGCATTTGGAATGCGGCAGACATGTCACCCTAAAGAATTGGAAAAGTAGCAGCCATGTCAGCCTGGGAATAAATGACCATTTTTGTTTTTATCTTAAAGGAAACAATAGGTTTTTTTATTTCTATAAGCTGTTGCTTTTATGAGGCACACTTATTTGAAATCTCTGTCATCAAGATTTGCCTTTTTGTTGCATCACTAGCAGCACTACAGTTGCAAATTGAAATTCGTTAGCCCGAGTGTCACGACACTTGAAGAGGAGGGTACATATCGCATGCATAAGTGTGCTATCGTTTTCTTTGACTAGGAAGGACTGTTTATTTGTATGTAGGCTTGTAGTTTACTCAAAATTACTGGAAAATACTATGATGCGAAAAGATAGACTTAACGTGTCAACAAATCAATAAAATGAGGCATGCTTTATTTTGTTCAAAAGGTAAATGAATTCTGTGCAAGAACTCAAATTTTAGTTGCAGAATGACCACCTAGCGCTTTGATGCAGGCTAATCAGGAGATTCTTTGACATAACCGTGATGAATTCTAGAGGGATCTGGTCACATGCCTTTTCCGGTGCACGTTTAAGCGATTTGATGGATTGTCTCTTCTCTGCCAGACGTATGATGACGCAGTGGATTTGAATACAACTATATTAAAGCAAAAATGAAAAGCTAAAGGAAATGAGCAACTGCTCCCTTCAACCTAATAGTATGATCGAGATTGCAAAATAATGTGGTCTTTTCACACTTGGGTAAACATTGCACACTAACATAAGTTTAACGTTACCCTCATGCTACTACATTTCACATTTACTGCTACGTGTTGCAGCCCTTTGCATCTGTTTAATTTCGAAGCCCATCAAAATTTTTATACTCAACTGTTAAAGACTTTTCATTTCAGAAAATAGCAATGTTATTTGAACGCAATAGGGCTAAAGAGCTCATTTTGTAAAAAATTCCAATGTCTGTGTCGGTGGTGGCAGTGCCTTTTGTTGTGAGCAAAAAGGTGTTGACCATGAGTGAAAATTAGAGGCAGATGCAAATGAAGAAATAATGAAAAACTTGCTTTTTAGCAGGCCTGGCTATTTGAACCTGCTACCTCTGCTATGTGGCGCGGTGCGTTTAGCCACTTGGCCACCACGCATACATCCACTATCATGTGCTATCTACAGTGAGCTATCTATGTGGCACAGTTTAGCATTGATGGAACGCACATCTCTAAGGTACTTCAGTGACTTGACGCAAAAACCGTAAAATGGTGCAAAGGGCCCACTCCTGAACATTCAAACAGCGTCATCCCACCATGTGGCCATGTTTCGTTTCACTGCATGAATGGATATTGGACCCTGATGGGCGTCCGCACTATGGCTTTTCTTGCGGCATGGTGTAGCTCTGCACGTGCACTAGATGCAAAGCCAGTATTAGACCGTCTTTTCTTCAATATCAGTGATTTTAAAGACCCACTAATTTTACCTTGCATCTTTCTTGATTGTTACAAAAGTAGCACTGGTATTAAGCAGAATGAAATGCAAGTAGTTTATTAGTATATCATGTTTTAGTTAGCATTATAATATTTAAAGGTATGAGTACAGCTTGCATAAAAGACATCCCTGTCATCTTGTTTGTTTTGCAGAAAACGACCATTGATATGAAAGAGAGAGAATTGTGGATTTAGTGAATTTGAAAGGATTGATTTTACATGATTGAATATTTGGGATTAGGCACAGATCCTATTGTCGGGAAGGCTTACACTATGGAAGAGTAGTCATAAAGTCTAAAATGACCATGAGTTGTCGTCCAACTTCTGCAAAAACATTTTTTTTTCTTTTTTTTTCATTTCTTGTCCATGCATATTTCCAACCTTTCTCCTTTGTTTCTTGCATTTATTGTACCTAGAGTTCATGGCAAGATACTAGTGCTTATTTATGAATATCTGTCTTTGGCCTTAGCTAGCTATCATTTGAGACTGTTTTTTTCTTGTGTGTGTGGATTAAGTCCGAAAAAAACTCCCACTGTATTATGATGTACGGTGTACTTTTGTTCGCTGTTTGAATGTTGACATGCCTATATGTTTTACTGTCATCGAGTGACACTTCTGTTGCGTGACCCATCCTCGAAGCATGCTTGTGGACCTTTTGTTCTGATTCTGTGGAGCACGATTGACTCCTAGTGTTACCTTTTGGTCCTTCGCTTTTATATAGACAGGTCATTTCGATTTTCATGAAGCTTTGCAGCTGTTATCACCAGCTTTTCATTTTCATTTTCACCAGAGTTTAATGTTGCTTTTATTTCTTCTTAGTTTTAACTTATGAAAGCGAAACTGATTTTCATGTCTCTTAAGTCTCTTCAGGTCTTATTCAATGCTCTCACAAAAATAATGAAACTCAGGTCTTCAAATGGTCATGCTAGTTCCTTTGGCACCTAACTGTATGTGGATCTGAACCGTAATTACGACTATTTTAACTATATGTGGTAGTAGAAACATGCAATATGCAACTACGAAGCACCTGTTGTAGTTGCAGAATGGGAACTGTTGCATTAGTCGGAGCTGGTGCTAGGCTTGGGGGATAAAAATTACTTTGAATTTCTTTATGTTGGCCTGTCTTATCATCAGATTCTTGTTTGTTGTGTAAAGTCTCAGAACTTAACTGAAGTCCAAGCTTTTGATTTTGTAGTTGTTATATGTGTGCAAAGCTAAATGGTTTCAGAATTGGTGAACCAATGTAAAATAAAGGTGGCTTTATTCGTAACGTTGAAACAATTTCTAATGTGCCACTACTATGCAGCTTGTACAGCAACAATTCCTGTTTCCCCTTGAATGCCCTGTTTTTGTGTATTCGTAAAAATCATCACAGAACCATCTGGTCTCTGCTGTATAGCTTGTAGCACTAATTATGTTTGCCCTTTTCTTTGTGTGGAAAGTGCACAGTCTTTGATTATTAGAATTATGTGGAGATAAATGTGCATGTAGCACATGATGTACACAGGGACATGATGTACACATGTGTGTAGACATTAGAAATTTCCCTCTCTAATCTCGTTCATTTGGCCATTTCGTGGCTGTGGTCACCCTCTAGGAATCCACTGGCCCAAATGGAAGAGGAAAAGAAAGACCATGAAGCTAAGATGCAACGGATGGAGAAGGAGATGGAACAGGTGTTTGAGATGAAGGTCCGTGAGAAGATGCAGAAGCTTAAGGAATCTGAAGCCGACGTAAGTTGTCCCTCAATTTCTCATTAATAGCAGCAATAGCAGCAATTTCTCATTAATTAAACACCTTCCCATATCAAGCAAGAAAAGGAAAAGGGAAAGAGTGGTGCTGAGTGGTTGCAGAGAGGCAACTTGTAGCAGTTATTCTCTTCCTGCCCTTGTAAGTGTATGGTAGGGTTACATCTTCAGTTACAACTTATGTAAAGTTGTACAGTGTCCTTTTTTTTATGAAAGGATACAGGCGATTACGTGGCCTGCACGCTGCCACGGCTGCCTACAGCACCATCAGCCTACAAATAAAGAAAGGACGTCCGCTTCTGGTGGCATCGTCCGTTACAAGACTGGAGCAGGCACGCAATTGAGCAGCACTTCTCCAATGGCCATGACTGGTTATGTTGTTTGCTAATAGATGACTCCAAAAACTAATGCACTTTCCTTATCTGTCTGTTCATGGTGTTGTAGGCAGACACTGGAGAGTGCATGCCATGTACTCGCTTGTTCCCCATCATAAAAAAAAGGACACTGTACTGTGCTGTATAGAAGCGTTCACATGATATGCTAGTTGGGGGAGGGTTGCACGTTATAGTGAAAATACTTTACATTGTTGAGCCATGTTGCATTGTATAGTACTTGGAAGAATTTTTTGTAGCATGAGGTGAAATACGGAAACGGGAAGGGATAGATGGAGAGGATCCTCTCCATCTATCCCTTCCTGTTTTCGAATTTCGCCTTGCGCTACAAAAAATTCTTTCAAATGCATCACCAACAAGCTCGCATTGCAACACTCGTAGTATAGCCCTGACTTTAGATAGCTTCAAAACTTTTTTTTGTTTCTTCAGAGATTGGAGATTTGATTGCATATCAAATCATCACTGCTCTAGTAAGTAGCTGTTGTCAATGTAATGGACCATTTAGTTGCCGTGCCAGTCTTGTATCCTTTAGTCAACTGCGCACAGTCTACCTTGGTCAAGTTATGCCCGAGAACATTTTTGCTTATGCTCTGCATTTCTTCACCAAAATTGAGGCTGGTAAACTTGATGAACAGAAAGTCATATATGAGGATGAAAAGAGTGCAAACACCTCTGGAACCATACCCTTCTTAGCAGCTCTTTGACTAGCCTGTGTAACGCTGTTCCTCCGTCCGCACCACACTCCCGTGGCTGCAGGTGTTGGGGCAGTGCCAAGTAGGCCACGCCTTCCCTCGCAGTGTGGCCGCCTTGACGTCACTCTCTCCCTAGCCTGTCCCCGCTCGCCATGTGTTATCTTTCTTGCTTCACCCTCTCCACTGCTCACAACGTTCGAGCGCACATTGATCGAACAGTCTTTCTGCAATGAAACTTACAGGAAACCCAACCCGCCTCCCATGTCCAAGCATTTCAAACAAACTTTCACTCGAGTAAACGCTGCATCTAGTTTCACTCCAAACCGTTCTTCCAGCACCTGCATCAATGCCCATTTCAACCGGGTCAACACTCTGCGCTCAGCTGCTGCTTCGCATTTCATCAGGGTTCCATTCAGGGAGATTGTCCATAATTTTTACAACAGAAACCCATGGTCATTTTTCTATCCTTGTTTTTTGAAAAATGATTGCCGCTGGAGCTATTTGGTAGTGCTCCTGTGAAGCGAATTCCTGTTGTAACCAGTTGTAAAGGCACATCTCAAAAGCATATCTGCCATCAAGCCAGCTCTGCATAATTAAAAATATACATACATATGTTGCAGGTGAGGTATAACGTAGCAGCAGAAAGCACAAGACCGAGTTGATTGGCGGATCATGGGACAGGCCTTTGCCCGGCAGTGGGCGTAGTCAGGCTGATGATGATAATATGTATACAAAACATCCCCATGAGTTGACGTTGTACGGGCGAGCATTAGTGCACTGCCCAAGTGGATGCACCCATGTGGCGTGACATCGTGCATTCAACTGTCAATGCTTAATTTTTTTATTGTGGCGAATCAATCAAACTGCATTCAATCCTTATTCAAACTTATTGACCCAGATTGAACTCAGGTGCTTGTTGGATCTGATCAGTGATCGTCAAACCTCATGTACATTCAAAGCTTGCAAGCAGTACTGAGAATGAGACCAAATGCATTTATTTCCTGTGGATAAAGGGTTGTAGTTTTTGCATTGTGCACATTTTGCGTCCTACTTGCGTCTGAAAATGTGGAGGTTCTAAACAAATGCTTCATGATATTGTAGTCTCGGGTCTGAGCTTATATCTTTTTTTTTTAATTCATGTTATGTCCATGAGATACTCATGTACAGCGGGCACTTTTTATTTTGATTCAATGCAAGGTTAGTGAGGTAGACATTCAGAAGCAAAATGAAAGGTGGTTTGATTCACCTGATACTTCCTGACTATAGCAGTGTGAGAGTGCATTGGAGAACATAGTTTGAGGTGTGCTTAAAGTATCCCCCGGCCATCACTCACTGCTGCCTCAGTTTCTGGTAGTTCATCCCTCAGTTCATCCCTCATGGCTATGATTGTTCATGAATAAAGCTTCTATTTATTTATACGGTGGATGCAGCACGGTGGACACAGGAGTCATCAGATTTTGATTGCGTCAATGTCAGTGAAAGTTCAATTATGAGATGAATACTAGTGCAGCTTCCAGCAGTTTTATATCAGCGCTACTGAAAGGATTACAAGAGGTAATGGTGTTTCAAATCTATATAATGAGCTACATCTGTCTCTTGGAGACAAGTGCGATTTTTCATGCTCATGACATTGAGGCAGCACACTTCACACTTGCAACATTCTTAAAACGATCTGCCTTAGTGCAGGCTTGGCGCAAGTTATGCACTGTCACAGGTCTGAGCAATCATATTACTGCGTGACCTCTCTTATTTAATGAACTGTTTCGACTGGAGTTATGTGTACAGTGCTGTATAGGTTTCAAAAGTATGGCATAAAACACATAGGTAAGTGAAACATATTTGTTGCATCCATGCGTGTCACTGTGAACTGTTGATGCTAATACAGAACATACACGTACAAAACAGCCATGTCAAGTTTTAGACAGCCTTCAAGACCACCAGAACGAGGGCTGGCCATGACAGTATGCCGTTCAGATTATCATTAGCTGTCCTGCTTTGTGCATGAATTAACCAATTCTTTTATAGATGAAGTTGACAGACTTTGCCATTTAGTTAAAATTGATAAGGTATCAGTTAAGGATTTCTTGCTGTATTCATTGTGTTGTCTCTGTTATTCTACACATGTTCATATATATATATATATCTGTCTCTCTTTGTTTGGTATAAACGCACTGAAGACATAGTATAGTGAACTTGTATTGTAAAGGCTTAACGAACCTGAATTTATGTGCTGGCAGGGGAGCCTGTGCTTGGTCGATTGTGACTAGTTTGCATATTTCCTCCCCCCCCCCCCTGCCCCATTTTTTAAAATCTCTTTGGTTGAAGTTTTTTTTTTTTTTGCATAATACATTCTATTTTCCAGTTCCTGTGAAAAACTAATCAACGAAATTCCACTCTGCACGACTTCATTCTCATTTTAATGAAAATAACAGATTATAAATATTTAATGCATTTTCTGCATTACAATTCTGTGTCTTGATACTGATTGGCAAGCTTTCTGTTGCAATAAAAAAAACAGGGCCTATAAAAATTGTTGTCATTCTCTTTAAAGTTTCACTTGACACGTACATGACAAACATGCTGCTAGTGCGACTAATGATAGGACTATGTTTATTTAGTTGCAGAGAAGGCATGAGCAGATGAAGAAAGGGTTGGAGCAGCAGAAGCTTGAGCTAGAAGACAAGCGGCGCAACTTCGACAAGGAGAAGGCCTCTTTTGAAATGGCCCACAGGGATATGGAGGATGTCTTCCGCAAAATGGCTGTGGACAGCAACTCTAAAGAGTGAGTGTTTTTGTGGAGACCAAAGTGTTTTCATAGTATTTTGGGCCTGCTGTAGTGTCCTAAGCAAGCTCCAAGGAAGTTAGATCGGACCCAACATCAAAAGAGCATCTAAGCAGATTGTGTTTACTGCATTGAAATTAGTGTACTGTCACTGTGTGCTTGTCAGGGTCCGCATGGGTCCTTGAAAACCTTCGAAACCCTTGAATTTGAAAGTGTCATTTTCAAGGCCTTGAATACCCTTGAATATTGCAGTGATTGAAAGTGGTGCTTGAAAGCCCTTGAATTCCGTTCACGGTGCCTAAAGTCCCTAGATTATTTTTTTTTCTTTTGTCAACTAAGGACAACCATTGAAGCGTGGCCAATGAATCTTATTAGGTAACGTTTATTTCCGGTATCCTTGTTTTTCTAACGCTTTCTCAGTGCCCAGTGAAACAGCATCCCCTGCTCACTAACGACGGGCGATTATTGGAGGGGAAAAAACGAGTCGCGTTTGCACATTGTTCGCTGAAAGGTGCGTGGCTAATGTACTTAAATGTACGCATTTTTGTAAACTTTGTAAGTGTGGAAGAACATGCGGGGTAGACTCCGGCTGCGTGTAAAAAGTGGTCGGAAGGGGAGGCAGTTGTCGCTACTTGGGTCACACCATGAGATGCTGCGCAGTGCTCCCTTATGGGCTGTAGAAATTAGGCATCTCATTTTTCCCCGAACAACTACCGTCAACAACAACACCGTGACTTAGCTACAGAATGTCAAAAGTCTATGGACTTCAGCAGTGCCGAGTGTTCGTTCAGCAACCGGCCACATTGAGAGCTATGGTAAGTCACTTGGAATGCAAGCCAATCCAATCTGATTCAGTTGTCCGCCATCACCACCCTTTAGTTTTCCGTATTGTGTATACGTTTTTCGTCGGCGATGGACATTTAGCCCGCTAGTTCGCCACCTCTTGTTTGCTTTATCAAAGTACGTTTTATGCACGCGCATTGGACGTGAATGTAGTTGTGTGTGTACGCGATCCCTGGGTAGTGCGTTTTCCTAGAATTGTGGCTCAGCTACGTTGCATACAAAGACTGGGTCGTGCCGGACCCAATAAATTCGCTTTGTGCTAGATGTAGGTCATGTGGAAAGATATTCGATGTCTCATCAATGGGGAAGTCTGGACTAAAGAGCCACCAGAGGAATGCAAAGCACATTAAGAGCATGGAGGACGCAGCAAGATGCTCCTTAATAAAGTATGTAACACACCGCGAGAGTGGCGAATACGTTCATTCAGTGCCAACGCAGTGCTCAGATTTGAATACCGCGTGCAAGGCCCATAATGCAGTGACCGAAGCCGAGATAATGTGGGCATTGAAGGTTGTCACCTCATATTACTCGTGCAACTCATTCGCACAAACAAGCGAACTGTTCCGGAAAATGTTTTCCGACAGCGAAGTGGCGAAGGCTTTTACGTGTGGAGAAAGTTAGTTCACGTACATTGCGTGCCATGGTTTGAGCACCTTCTTTCTATCATCTGTCCACGGGGCAATAGCGAAGTACGATTACTAAGTGATTTTGTTTAATGAATCTGCAAATGATTACCTCCATTAGAAGCAGATGGACATTCACATCAGATACTGGAATGCATCTCAAAGGATAACTACCATGCACCTAACAGTCGTTTTTATGGGCAATGCAACGACAGATAACATTGAAGATAGATTGTTGAAGGCGCTGAAGCCATTGCCACTTGCAAAGCTTCTTCAAGTTTCCATTGACGGACCAAACGTTGATTTGAAATTTTTCAGAAGCACTTGCTAGAAAACTATCTGGTAAACTGCCTTGATTTAGGTACTTGCAGTCTGTATGTGGTGCACAATGCATATAGAGCAGGTGTAACTGCCAGCAAGTGGGGATTGGACATTCTCCTGTCTAGTCTAGGTCTGTTATTTCAAGATTCCCCAGCCGGGCGTAAGGACTCCTCAATGGTGACCGAGGAGACGTTTCCTCTCAAGTATGTTGCTCATTGCTGGGTTGAGAACATTCCAGTGACTGAACGTGCACCGGCCCTGTGGCCTGATGTGGCAATGTACATAGAGTCTGCAAGACGTGAAGAGGTTCCTTTCTGAACTTGCAAAATTTCTGTAGTGACCCGCTAAGTCAAGCAAAATTGAACTTCGTCCTTGCAATTGCACTAATTTTTAAACCTTTCCTCGCGGAATATCAGGTGGACCAACCACTTGTATTCTTTCTGGCTAGGGGTCTTGAAGCAATTGTCCGTAAGTTGCTCACTAGGTTTTTGAAGTGCTCAGTATTCTCTGCATCAAGTGGGCCTACAGGCCTGTATAAAATCAACATTGAAGATGTGAACAACCACTCTGCACTTGAGAAAGTGGACATTGGAAATACAAATTCCAAAGAAGTCTACGGTCATTGCAAAAGAGGCATGTGCATTTAAAATGGAATGTAAGCAATTCCTTCTCAGTGTGACGAAAAAAGTTCTTGAGAAGAGTTCTCTGAAGTTCCCCTTGGTGAGAGGCCTCACCTCGCTGGATTCTCAGCAAATGTGCACCAAGCCAGGCCAGTGTTTAGCAGGTCTGAAGAATGTTTTGAACGCGCTTATCGTTACTGAAAGGTTGAGTGATTACTTTCGAGACACTGTACTTGCTGAGTATGTTGAAACGCTACAGATAGAGAAGCACAAGATTCGTTTGTTCGAAAAGAGTTTGGATAGGCCATACATTTTTTTTTACCTCCTCAAGTTCAACTCGTCGTACAGTGAGCTGTGGAGAGTAATGGAACTTTTGCTTGTGTTGAGCCGTGGCCAAGCAACTGCCAAAAGAGGGTTTAGTGTAAATAAGCAAGTTTCTGTGGAAAACCTCAAGAGCCTCCCATACATCATGCAATGCAATGCAATGTGCTAAATGTGACGCCGTTAATAAGGCAGGTGGATCCTTAACATCCCTATAACAAAGTAACTGAAGACCTCTGTTTTCTCTGCAAGGCATCGTTACCATGCACGTTTAGAAGAGGAAGCAACAAGAAACGAATGATTCAAAAAGGCTCCTTGTGGAAGAGAAAATCGATAATTGAAGGAGAAAAAAAAGTGAACCTAGAAGCAACAGTTGCTGATCTGATAAGTTCAGTAAATTGGCTTGCTTTGAAAGCAAATTCATCTGTTGAAGAGGTATTGTCACATACATAGTGAGGTCAAACAGTCTCAGGAAAACAGCAAAAAAACAAAACGGGACACAAGAACTGTTAAACATCAACGAAGGAATAACTGCAAAACTTCTGGAGCTCTCATGGACACTCTGCCTCACTGTAGTCTTAAACTTGTCTGAGATTGTTCAATAATTCGACTCGTCTTAGGCTGTTGAATAAATGTTCAATAAGTTTGTCGTTTTTATGACGAGCAAGAGATCAACTATTGATATGAGTTCTTGAAAAAACACTTTTTCGGGCCTTGAAAGTCCTTAAAGACTGTTGAATTTTTGCCTTCAAAACCTGTACGAACCCTGTTGATTGTGAAGACACTGCATCCATGTACCTTCCATGTACATTTAAACTTAATTGGCAGTAAAACAGAAGCACCACTATTGTAACCATTTTTGTTGATTCATGTTAGTGTGATAGTGTGATATAATGTGTTGTTCTATCTTGGCAGTGCTCAATGAAAAAATATGGTCACTGGACTGTGCAAGTTCAAGAGACCCACAATGATTTCATACATATCGTGTGCAATGCTTCAGCCCTCGCCAACAGTTATTCACTTTAGGTGCTTTCTTGCAGAACCTCTTATTAACAGCAACACTTCGCTATCTGCAACTGTATAAAACTGTCGTTACTGAAGGGCCTTTCCCAATCTGTGCTCTTGCGACAATTATTGTTTGCATGCCTTCACTCTCTTTTTTCTACATTTATGGCACCCATTACATTGCACTTAAGGGCAGTGCTAGAATACTTGTAAGTTGAGGCTAATTTTGCTGTAGCATTCAGTCTACATATTCATAATACATATCATGTATTTGGCGAAATTTGTAGGCTGCTAAGAGAAGGGCCAATATGTTGAGGATCATCAGTGCAATCAAATTTATGTTCCCCATTGATCTGTTATTGAAAAGCTGTGCATTAAGTGTGTTGAATTTTGGTTTAAAATGACCTAAATACTCCTGCATGCCTGGCAATACTGGGGGTACTAATGTTTTCTCTGCTGTAAGTTCTTTGTGCTGCTTCTAAGTTAGTCTTAAATATTGCTCTCCGATAAATTTGGTTGAAGCAAGTGCTCTTAAAGATCCCTTACTGTGGCATCAAGTGAACACAAAGTGTAGGAATGTAAAAATTAGTTCCGGGTTCTTAACATTTGAAAGCAACCGTCTTGGCAAAATTAATGGAAGAATGGCTCTCAAAGCCAATCACCATGGATTACCAAACATCCACCAAACAATCACCATGAATGAACAGCTTTGCATGGCTGCTCTGGCTGTCATTTGTTTTGGATGATGCAAACTTGAGGTACAAATACTTAGTCATGTAAAAATCAGTGATATTTCACAGAATAAACCATGAAAGAAATTTGCAGTGTTTTTACAGTGTAGTCATACAAAATTTTCGATGACATGCTTTTGTGATGGGGTTTGTTCAATCAAAATTCACAGTGTGCTCAGATTTGGGTGTACGTTAAACGAACCCCAGGTGGTTGAAATTTCCAGAGCCCTCCACTATTGCTTCTCTCATAATCATATCGTGGTTTTGGGATGGTAAGGCCCACATATTATTATTATTATTATTAATTCAAAATGCACTGCAATGCAAGAGAACTATCTTCTAAGATATTCATACAATTTTCGTCTTCAAATTTAGACATAGTAATTATGGAAAATTGCTCAGCGCACATACCGTACTACAGACAAGGACATGAGGGAAGAAGACAAGTAAGGACGTCCTCTTGTTCTTGCCTGCTGTGTGCACACTGAGAAATTTTCCCCAATGGATTCATACCAACGTTACCTGTTTTTTTATAATTTTGCATAAACATGGTGAACTTGGGCAGTGCTTTCAGGGTTTGAATTTTTTTGGGGGTGCAATGACTTGCTAATGAAATATAAAATGATCATTTAATTTTTGTGATAATTTACCATGGGCCAGTTAACTGTGGTCATACTGGCTGTGTCTAAACATTCTGGTGGAATCAGGTGCAACCTTGTAGGAAAATATGTTGGAGTTTGAAGCTGTGGTTGCATGGTATGTTCCAAGTGCATACCCTTGCTTCAGATTGTCTGGAAGTTTTCCCCAATAATTAAGAGGTGAACACTAGTAATCATTAGGACAGAGCTCGAGATTTACAGTAGTTAGTATCCCCCAAAGCACTTTGTTGTAACTGCGCACGAACATTGTGTGCTTTTATTGAATTGTATATGTCAGTATATTTGATGTATCAAATTATACATGGTGTACTGAATCCCTGTAACGTAATTTGCATTTGTTTGCTCTGGCTTCATTGACTGCAACAACTATTTTACTAATGGGTTCAAGGCAAGCACAGTGGTCGTGTGTCTTATGGACTGGGGTAGACTATTGTTAAAACTAATCACTTTTGTGCTGTATCGCTTTATTTATGTCTAAATGGCACTTCTGCTGAGCCATGGCTTCAGTAATTGTGGAAGCGTCACATGCATCCAAAGCACATTATGTTTCATGCCCCTATTTGTATGACAATATTGTTGTCTGAGCAGCACACATCATGCGCACAAAATGATGCACGCTATGCATTGCTTTGTACTTCCACTGTCAGTGCACTAAATGCTGATCACTGCTTTTGCACTTCTCATCAGCTCATCAGCAGCATAGCAACTTTAATGTAGTAATAAGCAATTCTCTTATGGAGACACATAGTGAAGATGACAGCTTCACTCAAAGAAGGTATCAGTGTCGGGCTATCCTGCCGATTTTCTTCATTGCAGAGTTTCTTTTTTTTTTAACTGTATAAAGTATTCGTAGTTTGACGGCCTTAACACACTAGCAGCAAAAGGGGAGCCTCCAAAGCTGCCACGTGGCAGCATTTCTGTGCTGCGAAAATGGGTCTACGTCATTTGTCATGGTGCACCACTTCCCGCTGGCTAAGGAGACTAATCAGACCAATCAGGTGCAGAGGGCGGGCAACTTCCTCTCTTTCTTGATATTTCATATATATAGATACGTATACATATACGGTGCATGACGCCGACGCTGGTGGCAAAAACCAGCCAAGAGGGTCCATATAATTGCTATCGCAATAACAAAATGCCCTGTAAACATTCCAAAAAGGTGGGTAGGCCACGAGTCTATACCGCCACCACAGCATTTCTATGCCAGCCGCGCACTGTGTGCGTTTTTCCACTAGTGTGTTGAGGCCGTGATAGATATCAGATTGGCATTTTTGTCTACGGATACAGCTGGGGAAGTGCACCTTTGAGTAATGTCTGAGTGTATTCACATAAGGGCAGTCGTAGGCGTGTTCATGCTAATTGACTTCATTAATTGGAACCAAGCATACTCCTCCAGGCAGCAAGTCGCTGAGAAGTTGCTGTTTGTGGTTTGGCTGTTGTTTTGCTCAAATATTCGTATTCAAGTTGAATTGGGAAATTTCACTATGGGAACAATGTTGCTTTTAACCATTATATACTCCACAAATCTAAATATACAGGCTTGTATACAATTTTCTGAATATATATCTATCAATGAACCACATGAACCAGCTCATAACTCTCGATTTCTGTACAGGACCCATTTTAGATGCTCATGTCTCTGACATACCATATAGAGCCAAATCCCGATAAAACGAAATTGATGGGATGTGGGGAAAAATTCATTGTCGCGGAATTTCTTGGTATCAAAATTTCATCTATAGACCAGAAAGGTTGATAAGGTCTGATAATTGACTCATCCTTCGGTCCCAGGAAGGGCATTCATTGAACTCTCGCTAACTGAGACGTACCTTGCCGCACACTAAGTGAATATATTTTATCGCGTATCACGCGATCAAAATGTACAGGAAATTTGGAGTTAATGTCATGGTGCGGGTTATACAAGAATTTCGGTGCGCAAGTTGGCTTTACGGCAATTCGAGAAAGGCGACCTTGCATCAATACACGGGTAGTTTTGCCAGCATCCTCGCGAGCATCAGCGCTTCTAGCAGCTTCTGGTGTTGCTAATACACATGTTCCAGTTGGCACGTTGCGCAAGTGCAAACAACTGGTTATGCAAACATCTGCAAGTCTTCAATATCTGTCTATGCGTGCAACATTTGTACATATACTTAGCGTCATTTCATGACGTGTCACTCAATAAAAGAAGTTGCAACACGGTAACCTTCCTTCCGCATGCTTCTCATAACGTCGATTCCGAGGTACATGAGATCTGCTGAATTTATTATTATTATTATTATTATTATTATTGTTATTATTATTATTATTATTATTATTATTATTATTATTATTATTATTATTATTATTATTATTATTATTATTATTATTATTATATTAGGCTAGAGTTCGTCAGGCTGTAGGTATAGCATGAATCGTGTGGTCTATTCATTGGCAGCTTGGAAATCTTGTGCTGGGATGCCCTTCTTCCTTGTGCCTGATTATGTGTGCTTGATTTGGGGTGTTTAATTAAAATGGCACATCGTTCTGCTGAAGTGTTTGGACATATTGAGGGAAGGCCACTTTAGCCTGTGAGTATTTTCCTCTCCTTGGTCCACCAGAGGCCCAGTACATATTGGTGGCTTTTAGTTCTTCATGCTTTCATTGCCAGTAGTGGATGCAAAACTTTTTGGCTGCCCAATTGCCATTTTCTGAAGAATACAATCACTTTCAACTTGAAATCGGCTGTGTAGTTTCCGTGTCAGCCCAAAGTGAGGTGATGAGAACAAAATGCTAATGTTGCCTTCTCACATGCTACCGTATGTTCTATGCAGACTTTGCAAAATAACAGAAATCTTTTCTCTTGCAACTTAGCGTGGATTCCATTAATGCTGTGTGTGTCAATAATGGGCATGAGCTTTTGGAGGTGGCACTTGGCTGCCATGCACTAGCATGCAGAACTACCAGATGACATCTACTGCTGCTAAAATTTTAGAGGGTGTAATTATCAGTTGAGGTAACGAAAGGTCTAATTTTTTATTGCCATTAGGGGGGGGGCATCGCCACAAAGCCCACAAGGCATGATGCGTAAAGTTAGTCAAGACCCACATGTGAAAGTAGATAAGTACATCATCAGGCAAGTTTGTATTATCCTTTTATCTGAACTTCAAGTTACTTCTGTTATTGTTAATATCTTAATATTAAAGCAATTTCAAATTGTTAAACATTTCATGCAGAAATATAGCTTTTTGTAATGAATTCTGAATATTGCTTTTCTGGATTTATTTTGAAGGTTCTGTACATCTTGGCTTTATTGTAAACAACACCGTCACTTATTGCACTCTTCTACTCAAATATAAGAATCATTTCTAGCACAGAACTGCTTTCTCTATTCTATATTATTCAGTCAAATAATTTGGGGAAATGAGCCACCATAATGACTGTGCCAGTTTTGTTGAGTTACAAGGAAAGGCATCTTCACATTAGTCTAATATTATGTACAAGGACGACTTGAAGGTTCGACATGCAAGAAACGCACTCGTAAGGCATTTCTGTTGCTCTTTTATGTTCTCTTTTGTCGGTGTCTTCTATACATAACCTTTTAAATACCAAGTGGTTTTATTGTATTCGTTTTGGCTTCATAGCTGAGCACTTTACCATTACAGCATTTTACTAGCTGATCTTAGTGACTACCGTTCCTTGAAGTTCTTCAAGCTTGCACAAGTAATGCACAAGTAGTGCCTAATATTGAGATGGCAATATTATGCATTAAGTTTACTTCACAGGATCGCACACCTTACAACTTGCACTCCAGACTTGCAGTCAGTTTTGTATGCTTATTTTGCATTCTTTAGCATAAAGTTTCATACTTCGTGATGACCACACTTATATGTTCATATTGTTCATATTGGTCATTGCACTGTTAGTATTTTTAAATTGTAGAGTTCTTTCTTATTAATTTTTTAACTGGTGGTTATATTGTTTCACTAAAAACTGAAGCTTTTATTGTGGTTTGTCTAAATGTCATCTTTTCCACCTTTTATGCATATCTGGAAATGGACAAGGTTTTCCCTTGCTCTCTCCATGATGTACACTTCTGACTTTCATATACTGATTGTATTCTGACGCTTACATAATTTCAATTGATTCTGAAAACTTTGTTTTTACTGACACAATATCAATTAGAACTAACAGACAATAAGGCCAAGGAAAGCATAAGTGATGTTATTTGTAGTAATTGTGATATAAATGTGAATAAAGTAAAGTGGGCGGCAAAATAACTTGCCATTGCCATCAGCAGGGACCCAACCTGCAGCTTTCAAATTACACTCATTAAGAATTTTCACCCACCTCTGCGGCGAGTTGCAATGTGCTGCAAATATATTCGATCTCTAGCTGGAATCAATATTGCCTTGCAGTTGGAACAGTGATATAAGTTAACTTAGAAATTCACGATAGCTCATGCTTCAGCTCAGTATAGGGGCATGTTTCTTATACTTTCATGTCAGTACATCCACCTGCAGTCAACTACTGAAGAAATTACTTCATTTTCCCTGTTAGCTTTCTGAATACTTGCACTGAAACTTAATGTAGTCGTAAACACACTGCTGCCACTGCATTCCAAAAAAAGGAAGGTCCATAATCAATTGCATATTGAGAAGCTTTTATGACCAGTTACTTTCTCTAATGTTGCTACAAACTCCATTTTGTAATCGAGCATTAACCATTGACAAGAGGCAGTTGCATTGGAAATTGTGCGTGCTTATGAACACCGGGTGCAAGTGCAGAAGAAGCAGCTTGTGACAATGCCTGGTTGTACAGTGGCCCTTGTCGATGTTGTTGGGCTCTTTCAGATTGCGCCGGTCTGTCTCTGAGGACCACTTCAGTAGCCGCAAATGCATGCAGTATGCTGCGCCTGTCCGAAAGAACTGCAAGCAGATGTAGAGAGTGATGCACGCCCCTACTACCAACCCTTCATCCGCCTCCTCGGCACCCACCTTGGCTTTGGCCGGCTATAGTTACTTTTGTTTATTTTGCTTGTCACCCAGATTACGGTGGACTGGCACATCTTTCTCTTCTTTTGCTTCTGTGTATACAGCACACTACAAAGTTATTTTTCTGTCGATGTCGCTTGTTTCACTTGAGTTCTTCACTTCTGTGAAGATTTTCAGAGCTGTGTGAATGCTTCATGACATGTGCAAGATTAGTGCCCTTGATTTTGTGGGCCGTTTTGGCATCATTCTAGCAACCTGTAGAACACCTGTTTGCAGACTCTCAGGCATGCTGTAGGTTTGGTTACTACCCCACCACCGACCCCACAATAAGAATTTCTATTTTTACATAGCCTGCATCTCTTGAAAGGCACGTATTTTATAGTGTTTTCATTATTTCATTATATGATTTTCCACAACTCTCTATTCTTTTGAGTGTTCTGTGCCACTGCCTTCCATGCAGCCTAAAATGGGCAAAAAACTATCCCTGCATACCTTGCAGTGCTGTTCACTTCATCATCTTGCACATGATATTTATGACAAAGACTTCTTGCATGTTTTTTTTTTCCACTTTGCACTTTCTGCGACATTATGTCAAGGTTTAACTTTGTTCCCTATGTTGCAGTCTTAATTACATGTTACCATTGAGCTGTGGTTATTCAATTCTGCATTGTAAATAGCACTGTAGTTGTTGTTTCAGAGGCAGCACATCCTTGTCATTTTGAGCTAAATGATCTGGTCACAACTGTTTTTTATTGCACTTATACTTTGCACATTGTTATTACATTATTTTTATGTTCTTGGTCCTTCGTTGCATTGTTATATATTATATTGTCATAGTGTTGATGATATAGTGTGTTCAAGTTTTGTGCTTCTGTCAGGCCAGAAGGTTGGCATATTATAGGCTTTCCTGTTCTGAAGCATGGGTACTGTGTTGCAGCTTGAACTTATTTCCTTTCCTTTAAAAAAAAGTTCTGGTACCTATCACCCTGTGTCTACTTCTGATGCAGTTTAATATATTTATATTTTATTGTACGTGCCCATAACTGGGGCATAATTTTGTGATAAACGTGACCAAGGAGCACACTTGTTTTTTTCTAGTCCAACACATATTTGTTGTGCCTTAGGAAACCACATGTCAGCTACATTTTTAATCTGTTACTGAATAGTTAATAGCGTGTTTCAAATGTATGCTTTCTTAGGTAATTAGTAAACACAAGATCTGTGTGGGTTTTTTGTTACAGCAGTGACTAGTAGCAGAATATGATACAGGGAACTATACAGTCTGCATTCCAGTGACTGGTAACACCAACTTACAATAAAGAACAAGTTGTTCTTTAAATATGTCATTTCTTGCTATTGAATCGGAACAAATTTGTGGTACAGCAGGGTAAGCTCTACAAACAAAGGATGTAAAAAAACCACTACTTCTTAAGCTTCGTGCCTTTGTAACGAAGCACATGACACATTCAGCCTACCATGTGATCTGAATGCTTTTTGCCAGTTAGTGAGAGCACAATCACCAGCACAACTTATACATGTCTGTGGTCATCAGTAGCCATGCCTAAGATTGCACGCACATCTTTGCTCATGCAGACTGATATTAATTTGAAGCAAGTGCCTGATCTCAATAGATGACCCTGCTCTGGGGGCCTTTTATGGGTCAATCTAACAGCAGGGGTGGAACAGCTGTGCCATTTGCGCCATTGTGCGCCAAACTCTCTTACCAGCGCCATCCGGTGCCGAACCACCTTTGCTGCGCCAAACTCTCCTATCAGCGCCGTAGTGCGTCGCAGCACCTCTCTGCTTCGACTAGAGGCCGCTCAGGCGGGTGTATCGAATGCTGTTGCACGGACCCTCTGAGCAGCGGAAATGGACCGGATCGCTTGACCTCTGCTCCAGCCGTGTTCGTCACCCCCTCTCGCGCCCTTTTATTCGCGGATAGAACATACGATGTGCGGGAGTATGTTATCAATCTAGAAGTTGACGGGACATGGTGGGAACAGCAAAAATGCCTCGGGAGTGTCCATATAATTTCTATCGCAATAATGAGGCTATTGTGCAATTTACCTGAGTGTTTAAAAAATGTAACATTGAACAAATGTAGCTTCACAAGTGCTTTAAACCGGGCTAAACCTGCTCTAAGCTTGCTCGAAAAGGCCCTTCTGGCTGTTCCAAGCCTGCGACAAAAAGCACTTTTGTCTGCTCCCAGGACTGCTCCCAAACCCATGTACCCTGTTCCACCCCTGTAATAGTTTGAAGTAGTGATTGGCTGTATCCTGTCGCCAATAATCAAGACTGCAGTCTTTGTCAAGTATGGAGCTTCAAGTTTTTATTGCTGCTATCAGAAGTATAAGCTTTATCAAGTCAAACTTGCACCTTGATGTCTTATATTTATCAAGTCAAACTTGCACCTTGATATCTGTATAGTGGTAAAGTTTCATTTTCTAACTAAGCAAAAGGACATTACCTCTTCTCTCATATTTTGGTAGATGTTGCCCAATGCTTCAGCTTTGCACACACGTCATTGTCATGTGTAATATGTTCCTGCTTATGTGTTCCATTGTGTTTTGCATTGTTGATACCAGCTACATATATTAATGGGCTTTCACATACCAAAAAGTTATTATTTTTTATTTTGTTGATTATTTTATGTTTCGTTCTGTTTTATAGTTTAAGATAGTTTTGTTCTGACTGAACATAAACAGCTATGGCAGGGTTTTATGTTTGAAATATATTTTGGCATATGTGTCATATCAGCACTGAATTGAAAGGCATACATCAAAGCCCTGGAACTCAGTCAATATGAGGTTCTGTGGCTTATAACTATAAAAGTTAGCATCATGATATAACTGCTGAAATATGGACTGTATGTTAGCATATTTCTGATGATAATTTTACTAGGCAACAACCAATGCTTCCTCTGTGCATGCTTTCTTCAGTTTTGATGCTCATATCCATTCTGATTATTCACATTATATTTTATTTTTAGACAGCCCTCATGTTGCTTACTTATAATGAGCAGTGCCATTCATGGCAGAAACCTGTTTTAGGAGTCTTTGGTCATTCCATAGACACAGGGCTCCTTTTCTCTTTCATGGCCTAATTAGTTTGTATCATTGCTGTTTTTAATTGATAATCTGCTTATCTTGTAGAGGCTATGATGAAAGGCTTTTTGTAAAGTGTGCTATGCTCCTGCCTTCCATTATAGATCGAAAGGGGCGAGATGAAGCCACTGAGAGCTATGATACATTTTTTAGTTGCCGTTCATATGTCTGTTCCCAGACAACTGCTCACTTGAAGTGTTGTAGCACAGCTGAAATAAATCTTCTAGGTGATCGAAATTTGTAGCACTAAGCTCAGTACTCTGGAGTACTCATCAAATTACTGGACATGTGAGTGGTACAGTTTCTATATGCAGGTATGGTCGTTTATACATATTGTGGTTTGCCTTTGTGGTGTAGCATCAGGCATTTTTGGAAAGGCTAGCGAAGTGTGCGAGCTGGTACTTAAAAAACAAAACTTGGAAGTTTCTGAGGACTGAAATAGATAATGGTCTAAGACTGTAATGAATGAGTAGTTAGAAGATTTGCCACTTCTTCAGGTGGGGGGCAATGTAATCCTGCCAAAAATTGCACTGAATATTTATTACATTCAAATGGCTCCCCAGTAACACATTGTGTTTTTGCAAGCCACGTTAGCCCTTTTTGTATTGTAGGGAATACTGGTTGGTATAAACTTTGGGGACGACTATCATTAGTGATAGAGTAAGTGTTGCCAAAACATTTTGCACGTAAAACAGGCTCATGATTATTCAATTCCAATGTGCCAATCAAATCAGTGACAAAAGATAAGTCTTGAGTTGAACAACTTTAATAATGACTATTGACATTAGCAGATTGCTCGATATCCTTTTGTAAGTGGATCATCTAAAAGCACCAAAATTTAACACTTTTGTGAATGTTTTGTAGCTATCTGGGGCTGCAGCTCGCTACTCATGAGATCATGGCAGAGATCACATTTGGCTCATGCCTTAGGGGATAAAAAAAAGCAGTAAAGTAATTTGTCATACATGCTATGATTCTTGTTCGTGGTCCTGAATGTTAGCCATTTTTCATGCACACATTATTACATCAGTCATTGCAGGTTTTCCTCATTTGTAATGGTTATTTGGGGAGTATCGCTTGGGCATGGTTTCGTTGTCCAATCCATGTGTGAGCTTTGTGTTCAGTAATAATGCATTGTAGTTCAAAGGTGGTAATGTCACTTAAGTGACTGGTTTCGGGGGAAATTCGGCCTGGGTGTGGATGTTGCCACAAAAAAAGTTTAGCATATTGCTCTTGCATTGCATAATTGCATATAGTCATTAAAATATAATATTGAAATGCCAAAATCTTACTTATTTGGGTGCAGTTGAAAACATCCTTTTTTTTAGTTTGCCTTGCCTCATTTAAAGTAACTTGACGATCTCTTTACCCAGGTACCCATTTTTAAGTGTATATGCTGTGAAAAATAAATTGATTTGATAATATAACACTGAAATTTCGAATGTCACTTTTTCTTCGTTAATAAATTTGGGGCATAAGCAATACTTGCCCTGTGAACATTGCCACTGAAACATTCGAATGCTTGAAGAAAGCTGACCATTCATGTACAGAAGTCCTATCAAAGATGGAAGCCTGAACTTTTCTTGTGAGCTCTGTTCTTGCTTGGCAGCTACTACGATTGCTATTGCGACAGATAAAGTAGACCTTTTGGAGCTGATAGTTCTGAAGTTTTGGTCAAGTGCATCAGTTTTCTGTATAAAAGGGTTGGGATTCTTTTTTTAGTTAAGGATTTAGCTCTTTATTGGACGAATAGAATCTGTCAGGGGTGTAGGCAGGATTCTGTTGTGAGGGTGGAGACTATACATCTATGTACAGTACTCATAGATTGAAACGGAACCATTTAAGGCTAAGTAGTGCACATATGTACTTTAGGTTCCACAATCTTCAGTTTGAGTCATAACGGCGTAACCTGAACTGGTCAGAACACATAGGCAAGAGCGAACATTATCTTTATAACCAGATCCATCACGACATGGCATGGTTGTCTTGAGCAATCGCACATAAAAATCATCATACTGAAAATTTGATGTGACCTTTCAATACATCAGTACTGTGCATGTGTACTTGTGTGTGTGTGTGTCTGTGTGTGTGTTGCACATACAAAGAGAAAAATGTCGACGAGGGCGAGGCAAGTTGACTTCCATCTGGCTATGCCTATGCAGGGTGTTTCAAGAAATGTGTCCAATATCCTCATAAAATTAGAAAAAAATGTGATATTTGCTCACTGTCTTTACAATTGTTTTTTCTGTAGTGATTGATTGATATGTGGGGTTTAACGTCCCAAAATTACTATATGATTATGAGAGACGCCGTAGTGGAGGGCTCCGGAAATTTCGACCACTTGGGGTTCTTTAACGTGCACCCAATCTGAGCACACGGGCCTACAACATTTCCGCCTCTATAAAAAATGCAGCCGCCGCAGCCGGGATGCAAACCCGCGACCTGCGGGTCAGCAGCCGAGTACCTTAGCCACTAGACCACCACGGCGGTGCTTTTTTCTGTAGTGACTTGCATCTTAAGACAAAGACATCATTTGGGGTAGTAATTAAGAAAGTTAAATTAACTTTTAATAGGTGGAGCTATGCAGTTAAGTCAGATGGGAGAGGTGAAACACCACTGCTTATAAAAGGTGGCCTCTATTAATTGCTGTGGCATAATGAATTTCAGGCAAATTCAACGATGCAATCGAAGCTCTAATGCACGCAATAAGCAGACGACTAGAATGACATCACTGTTCAAGACGATTACAGAGGTGCAATTCTTCCCCGTTTGTTAATGTATGTGCGTCATGCAAGCTATTATTGCAAGCGCAGCCCACACGTCTACACATCAAAGTTGTTTATGGTTCATATAACGATGCTCACTCATTTTGGACATCTCGGATGAATATGGCAGTTGCGCTCTTCCACATTTCGGCTTCACTGCAGATTTTGGGAGAATCGCATTAATTCGCAATTATTACCAGAGGCGGAAAAGTCAAAGCTGCAATGGGTTCTTTCTATGAAAGACTTAAATTCTTTCATTTGACTTAACCACCTAACTGCCAGTTAAAAAGTTAATAATTTAACCTTCTTGATTACTTCCCCGAATGATGTCTTCAATCATCTTAAGATGCCTGCCACTACAGAAAAGGCAATTTCGAAGACAGAGAGAGTAAATGCCGTATTTTCTCGATTTTTTAAGGATATTGGACACATTTCTTGAAACACCCGATATGTAATACAATACTATAAGGGCTCTGTGTTTTCAGTTTGTTTTTCTTTGAAATTTGGAGGGTGTTTTATAGAGTTCATTTTTAAGTGAAAATTCGTAGTCTAACCCTTTAGTGCCGAGTGTCGCGAATTCGCGACACTCTGAAAAACTTCGAGCAAGCAAGTCACGAAACGCGTGCCACCTTTAATGCTGGTTGTCGAGTACTTGCAAGGAACATAGCTTTCAGCATGAAAAATCTAGCGCCGTCTTGTTTTGGGTATTTTATGCTAGAACCAATTATTTCGTAGGTGATGGCGAAGAGGGTGAAGCGCGTGCAACAGTCCTCACTTCTTTGTTCTTTCTGGTCTTGGCGACGCGAGTTCCATCTTCAATAATTTTGTTTATTTGGTGTGTACGCACCCAAGAGGTGGCACAGGGCATACTATACACTTTTGAAGCAAGTTTTTCGTTGGAAGGTCGTCGCTTCTGTGGCATGTAGAGAATTCGCAACACGCATAAAAGCTTGCATTCAAGTAGCATTTTGTACAATTTGATTGTGGAATTATTTAGAGTTTGTTATTTCAAGCTGGAAAATGACAATGTTATTTATTTTGTTCAGTAGTTTCATAAATCAGGCATTAAAGGGTTCATTTTGGCATTATTCCTAACGCTCCAGTATCTTGGATCAAATATCTTCGAAAACATCTCGACACATGAAACATATTTTAGTTGTCGGAAAGTTTTGAATGCTGAAACACGTATACATACAAGCACAAATTTTTGAATGCAAAACACCTATATTTGTGAGTATTACAACCTTAAAGGTTGTAATAGATGCAAGCATTCTTATGAGGTTGCTGTCACTGATAGAAGTGTGGTCGTTTCGATTGATGACCGAGTAAAAAAGCACTGGCGACTTAACTGTGTGAAGTCTCCCAAGTGACAGGAACTCAACTATGTTCATCATCATATCCCGGCTGCGGCGGCTGCATTTCCGATGGAGGCGGAAATGTTGTAGGCCCGTGTACTCAGATTTGGGTGCACGTTAAAGAACCCCAGGTGGTCGAAATTTCCGGAGCCCTCCACTACGGCGTCTCTCATAATCGTATAGTGGTTTTGGGACGTTAAACCCCACAAATCTATGTTCATCATCATCAGCAGCAGCAGCCTGACTATGCCCACTGCAGGGCAAAGGCCTTTCCCATGATCTGCCAATTAACCCAATCTTGTGTTTTATGTTACATTATACCTGCGGATTTTCTAATCTCATCAGCCCACCTAACTTTCTGTCTCCCCTTCGTGCGTGTGCCTTCTCTGGGAACCAGTCAGTTACCCTTAATGACCAGCACTTACCCTGCCTGCGTGTTACGTGCCCGGCCCATGTTCGTTTCTTCTTGATTTCAACTGTGATATCCTTAACGCTAGTTTGTTCCTTGAACCACTCTGCTCTCTTCTTGTCTCTTAAGGCTACACCTATCGTTTTCCTTTCCATTGCTCCCTGCGTCGTCCTCAATTTAAACTGAACCCTCTTCCTCCAGGTTTCTGCTTCATAAGTACGTAGTTGCAAGATGCAACTGTTCCTTCCTTTTGATGGTTAGTGGCAGATTACCATTCATGATTTGAGAATGCTTGCCGAATGTGATCCACCCTGTCCTTGTTCTTCAAGTCACTTCACTCTCATGGTTTGGCTCTGCGGTTACTACCGGTCCTAAGTAGACATTTTCTTTTACACTTTCCAGCGTCTCTCCACCTATCGCAAAGTGCAGTTTTCTGCCGAGATTGTTGCATATTACTTTAGTTTTGTGCATATTAATTTTTAGACCTATTTTTCTGCTTTCTGTGTCCAGTTCAGTAATCATGAACTGTAATTCGTCCCCTGAGTTACTCATCAAGGCAATGTCATCAGCGAATCGCAGGTTACTAAGAACTCTCCATTACCTCTTGTCCCTAACTCTTCCCAATCTAGGGTCCTGAACACCTCCTTTAAATATGCGGTGAATAGCACAGGAGAGATTGTGTCTTCCTGCCTTACATCCCTCTTTATTGGGATTGTGTTACTTTATCGAGAGCTATCGTTGCTGTGGATCCACTGTAGATTTCTTCCAGTATGTTTATGTAGGGTTCTTCGATGCCCTGATTTTGTATTGCCTGCATTACTGCTGATGTCAAGACTGAGTTGAACGCCTTCTCATAATCTAATAAGGCTATGTATAGGGGTTGGTTGTATTCCGCGTATTTCTCTATTGCCTGATTGATACTTTGAATATGGCCTATTGTGGAGTAGCCTGTACTAAATACTGCTTGGTCCTTTGGTTGATTGAACTCTAATGTCGCCTTAATCCTATTAGCTATTATTTTTGGGTATAGTTTGTAGAGAACGGACAGTAAGCTGATCGGCCTGTGATTTTTCAAGTCCTTGACATCTCCTTTCTTATGGATTAAGACGATGTTGGCATTCTTGGAAGATTCTGGTACCCTTCCTGTCAAGAGACAGTCCGTATATGATGTGGCCAGTTTTTCTAACACAATTTCTTCGCCATCTTTCAGCATTTTCATTGCTACCTTATCCTCACCAGCAGCTTAGCCTCTTTGCATTCCTTCAAGGGTTTTCCTTACTAACCCCTGTCGTTACTGGTAGGATGTCGAATTTCTCTGGGCTATTATTGCTTCTTACGATATCATCCTGGTTGTTTCGGCTTTTGTTCAGCTCTCTGTAAAACTCCTCTGTCACCTCAACTATCCTATCCATATTGGGTATGATGATTGCCTCCGTTGCTCCTCATTGCATACATCCGATTTTTGCCTATGCACAAGTTTGCCTTCGCAACTTTTAGGCTTCTGTCGCTTTTTACAGCCTGCTCGATTCTCTGCATCTTATACCTCCTTATGTCTGCTACTTTATACCTATTTATTAACTTCAAAAGCTCCACTAGCTCTGGTTTTTCAGTTGCGTTTGAGGCTTTCCTGGTTTGTCGTCTCTTGATGATATTTTTTGTCTCCTCAGATACATAGTTTGCTACTGTTCTGTCTAGTGACTGTACCTCCGACTTCCATTGCACACTCTTTGATGATAGTAGTAAGGTTATCATTCATTGTGTCAACGCTAACGTCGATTACCTCGTTTAGTGCCGCGAATCTATTCTGAAGAGAAACTCTGAATTCCTGTACTTTCTCTTTCGGTGCTAGTTCAATCATTGGCTTTTTGCCTATCAGTTTTTGTCTTTGCTTTTTTACATCTAGGTG